AGGGCCCCGCGGAATCGGGCACTTCCTCTGGTCCCGGTGTTGCACGGCAGCGGGGGAAGCTCGGCGGTGTTTCGAGAGAAATGTGATTGTGCAAAATCCCAAAAGGCGACTGAGGGGCGGGAGCGTGCTTCAGTGAGGTCTGACAGAGCGGAGAGAGCGGGAGGGAGTGTTTTGTGGGAAAGCCTTTGCCAGTGAGACGGCTGTCACGGAGCGTGAGGTGAGTTTAATTAATTATTTTCAAGCAACTGTTTTCATTATGCTGGTTGTCACGTCAGTGTGCCGTTGTGAATGGTTTTCATCTCGTGCCAAGGTTTGTATTAAATACATTATCAGCTTTCTTTATATACGAATAGCACTAACTTCCATGACATCTAGATGTTCAAGATTTTACGAGTATAATAATAGCGTGAATGCAAGTAGTCTTCATAATTAATAGTTTTCTCTAGATCTCTAAGGTATGCAAATAAGTTATCTAAATGTTTGAAGCGTTTTCCTTGCACCATTAAACGAATGACAAACTGTGATGATGTGTTAGTGACGTTGCCACAAACTGCAGGTTTTCTTAACTCCCTGCTGCTTTTTGCCATTTTGTGCAACAGGCGAACATCTATGAAATTGCAGGGTGGAACTCTGTTAGGGAACTGATTGGGCTGAAAAATAAACTAGAAAGAATAATTATAATTTGGATCAGTTTCACGTCCTGTTTCACCATATTCACCGCATGACTGTGCAGCAGACAGTTGGTGTGCAGGGAAAAATGTCTTGTCTTTTTCTTTCTCCTTTTTTTTTTTTAAAGTGGTGTTAGCATAAATGTATGGCAGACTGGCTTAAAATTCAACTAAGCTAGCTATTACAATATTTAAAATACATAATTGGTATGCATTGTTGGCTGCAAGAGAAATGCAAATAAGAAACCAGCACACTGTGCTGATTGTCTGAGTTATATTTGCCTGATGTTATAAGGTGGTGTTAGCAACAAAGAAAAGAATTGCCTTAACCTGTGACTTAAGCAGATAATGTGCTCGGTGGCTGAGGGAAGCACAAAGTAGCCTCTGTCTTGTCTGCAAACAACTGTTAACAGTCCCATTAATTTTATTTGAATGGACACATGAAATGAAACTTAAAATGTCTACATAACTAAGGCCTGAGTTTTTTCGGTTATGTTGCTGCAGGAGGAATAATTAGCTTTTAGTTTCAATTGGAATCCTTAACAATTAGGTTACTTAACAGTACAGAATATTAAAAGACACGGAAATGCAAAGCAAGCACTTCTGTGCTTGCACACACACACACAAAAGACGATGTTTTATTTCTTTCTTGGAAGCTCCTTAGACAGAAAGAAGCAGCTCTTTGCTGAAATCTGCAATTCTAGAAGAAAGTTTTTATGACTGTGTTTGAGGAGAAGAGTTCCAAAGTAGTTGCCAAGGTTATATTTCCTCCAATAACCACACTTACGATGTTAATTTTCTTTCACCTATAGGTTGGGCTTTTTTGCTTTATTTCCTGTCCAGCAAGTTAGATTATTATTTCTGGGGGGGAGTAAAATACACATAAAGGACATTTAGATTATGGAGGCAAACATTTGGAAACTAGGAAGTGATGGTCTCCACTACTTCTGCTTCTTTGTGTCTCCCTTGCAGTCTTGTCTTTTCCCCTTTGCTTTTGTGCTTTTGATAGGCAGCTTCATCTTCAACACCTTCTGGTGATGAACAGCAGGCATAGCAGTAGCTCGCAGGAATGGTGTTCATGGTCTTTTCAACTTGGATTTCTTTAGTAAGGTTGTTCAGAACATTGTGAAATCTGGTAAAACTTCACCTGGGCTGTGCTTACTTTCATTATCACTGCATCATTCTGACATGGCCACCCATGCAGGTCAGAAGGGCTGGGCAGATGTGACAGGATAGAGGTAACAGTTACATCTGTTTTTACTCCTCTTCCTTCGACTTCTGGGAAGATACACCGGCTAGTGAGGAAGAGGAGTATGAATTCGGTTCTGGTCTGTACTCCAGTCATCTGGCTAGATGCAGATCATTTCAGCATCATACAACTGCTGAAAAAGGTACATTTGAGTGTATTGCTTAGCATAAGATAGCATAGGAAAATGTTAAGAGATTAAAAAAAGATGATGATAGCTTTACTAAATGCAGTATGCAGGTGTTTCACCCATATGCCTACTTTTAGCTTTAGTTATACTAATAGTATGTTGTGTGCCTGGACATCATTGGATAGAGGACTGAGGGAAGAAGAAATGAATCGGGAACTTTACGGCCAGGGGACAGAAAGCCTGCTTAGTCAGAGACCAGCCAGTGGATATATTTGTTGTTTTCTATAGAGTAGGATAGCATTACATTATCAGGAGATACATTAATTACATTTTGTCAAACAAGATTAACTTAGATAACTGGATGTTAGCGGTATGGTAATACGAGGACTGTAGACTAAGTGTTCTTGCGTTGAACTGATGTTCTTAGAGAAGTTCCCATCTATGAAAGCACTGAAACCTTTGAAACATAATGTTTGAATTTATGTTGCATTTCCTTTGCTTACAAGCTAGCCACCCATTTCAGTAGTTTTGAGGGGTTTTTTTTGAGCAGCTTTTTAGATGAAATTTAAGTATCTCGGGTTTGTCCTCTTTCCTGTATGTTCTTTTCTCACTTACTTGCATAGTCACTGATTTTGTACATCCATTATTTTTTTTAATTATGGTGCTTCCATATCTTATATTGTGTTGCATCGTTTTTGATTTCTGCTTTGTAAAAACATATTAAATAAATGTACTTTTTTTTCTGTCAGTACAAATGTCACGGCTTTTTGAGTGTATTCCTTGAGCTTTCACAGTTCCCAGCTCTCATTTGGGGCCAATGTTCATCCTCCAAGAGTTAGTATTCAGATGTTGTTTTATATAGAGGGTGGTTTGAGTTTTGATTACTCTCACCTAACTATCCATTGCAACAGATTTCAGACAATAATGTGCTGTTGGCTTTTTATGGAACAATCTACTGCATTTCGTATGTACAAGTTAAATCTAAAGGGTGTAATCTTGCTCTCCTTTGAGACCTGTTGCATCAGAAACCTCAAGTACTCTGAATCTTTTAATGTATCTGTATGGTCTCCAGCTGGCATCCAAAATACCTTGTAAAGATGGGTGATCAAGTTAGCTTAAAAGCATATGAAAAATAAGAACAGAGACATAATATTAATAGCTTACCATTGAAAATAGCCTAAGGCTAGGCAGGTGTTTGAGGATTGTATCATAAAAATATTTAATAGAAGCTTACTGCTTATACTCAGTTTATTTTAAAATAAAATAATACTTTTTTCCTGTAGGTAATATATCCTCCACATTCAAAACTCTCAGATAAAGAGGTGAGTCATGGTTGCTGTAGAAGTATATAATTTGTTTTTAGTTTAGTAATTTCAGGAAATATAATGGCTCTCTTTTCTTTTCCCCACCCTTTAGAAAACCAATATTTGCTATTTGTCTTTTCCAGATTCTAATTCGGGTAAGTGCTTCCTTCACTCTGTAGTCATATGTTGTTGGACTAAGCTATGTTAAAAAAGATAGAGGTTGACAGTATGAATTCATGGTTTTAGATTAAATACTTATATGAATATCTTAATATTACAACACAGAAAAGTTGGAAATAAGGTTAAGTATAAAACTGTGATTGCAGTAGGGTTAGAGAACTCTTTGTTTTATGTAAATGAAATATCAGGAATGTGAATGTATAAGACCTTCCAGATGACACATATGCAGATGTTTCAGAATACTTTGTAAGTAAGGGATGAACACCTGAATCTCGCTTTTCAACAAAGTAATAATATTGTCATTGTAGAGAGAACTGTAGGCACAGAATTTGAATGGTTTAATAAAGCAAATGGAAGGGATATGGAACCATCTACTCCTGATGGAGTAAATGTGTATTTTCTAAATTCATATAAGTGAAACTGACTTTTAAATTCAAAAGCATTTAGAAAGAACAGTTGTAAAGGGAAAACCTAGGCTGTCTTATATTTTCCCTTTTCTTGATGCTTCTGTTGCTGTGTGTGGTCCTGCTTGCTAAATTTTTCTTTAATCTAAACTTCTACTGTTCTGCTGCCAAAGAGAAATTGGAGGCACGTGGCTGATGACTTGGACCACCTGCAAAAAGATATGGCAGAAGTACATACACTTCCTTTAACATTTATTTCTTTACAAAAGTCAAAACCTGTAGTGACAGACTTGTTCCTATAACTGCTCTTACTCTGTACTTTTGGTTGCTCTGGAGCGTAACAACTCTGATATGGGGTGATGCAGATGTGTGCTTTTAATATGTGTGTGAGCGCTCTCATGTAGTTTTGTTGTCCCCAATGCGGGCTTGTTACCCGGTACGCAACACCGATTTACACACCAAGGCGAGGTATTTCCATTTCTTCTATTCTAGTTGGCGCAAAATAGGGAGCTAGGTGGTAGCCAACAAAAGACTAGTGTGAAGTTTTGATAATCGGAGAGCTATTTATATTCTGTCACCTATTGGTTAAATGATTCTCTCACTTCTTATGCTAATTAGTCCACATGCTCAGTCTTTCTCTTCTTTTGGGTCGGAGGGTTTCTTGAGTCAGTGGGACGTGAGTCGGTGGTCGTGATCTCCCCTTGTTGGAATTAACTCTCCTTCACCTTTAGTTTCATGCTTCAGCTGTTGCAGCCAAATTCCTGTGGTTTTGCTGATAAAACAAGTTATCTCCTAACAGCCTGATTTATACAAGCCAAGATGCCCTGTTTGTCCAAGATGTTTCTGATTTATCTCCCTTGGGATTAGATGCCATGCCAAGTATTTACTTCGAACCTCCCCAACCTTGAATAGTTAACAAAGCAGTGGACAAAATAATTGCAACATTAATCAATGGCAGCCTTCTGCAAACTTACGTCAATTTTACAAAGTATCTTGGCTAATTTTTCCTCTTTGTCTTAATGTCATTAAAATTAAGATATTTTCTCTGTTCTTGATATCCTGTATGTAAATAGAGGAAGAGCTTCTTTCTATTATTGAAAGAGAAGATGAGTTAACTGTATCTTCTTATTACTCTTGTTGTTAATGGTTATAAGTCTCCAGCCTTCAAAAGGTGTATTGATGGTACAAAATAATGCGTTAGGAACAAAGGCTGATTTTTTAATTTTTTTTTTTTCCAAATAAGAGTGGTAATAAAGTTATTTTAGGCAGAATAGGTATATGTAAGGAGGATTTACTTTCAGCAAGGAAAAAAAACCCACCTTTTTGCTTTTTATAATGTCCCTATTAAGAACCTTTAGGTTCTTGATCGTTCTTGGTAGGCTGAAGTTTCAAATGATGTAGAGGGATTACCTATGTAAAACCTGCGTTCTAGAAATTAGCTGGGAGAGTATGCTATCTGTTACGATTTATTTTTTCATCATAGGCCATAATATAAAAGGAAAAGCTTTGTGTAATGTAGCAGTGAAGGAAATTATTAGCTTGCAGCTAAATTTGACATCAGTCTTTCTTAGGTTTTCATGGCTGAAAAGATTAATTCAACTTTTTTTTTCTTTTACAAGTACGAATAGATATCATTCTAGGACTTGTAGTGGCTATGAACGTAGGGGGAGAATTTGATTTAATCAGGTACTAGATCATGACACTTTTTGTGTTTTTTAAGCTAAGTTTCCTAGTACAGTTATCTTTAAAATAATGCTTTTGCCTTTTCTGCTTGGATAGTTGAAGAAAGAATAGACATTTACCAATCTTTTCAAATTCTACATACCGGAATAGCTTGTTATATAAGAAGCTGTCATATTCTGAATAATATTTCAATATATTAATGATTAAGGGTAACTTACTTTTAGGTCTTCTGTGTATAGCTTTTTATAATAGCTTTTTTTTTTTGCTTTGCATGAAGGGAACTAGCTATGAAAACTTGGAGCAAATATTTAGTGCTTTGTTATTGGCATGTGCAGTGGTTTTTTTTGTTATGATTGGATCCATATTGCTAAGCACTTGCTTGAGTTACCTGTTTGAATTGGATGGTTATCCCATCATACAATGTTTTGGTACTGTTGGTTTTGTCTCCATGCATTGTGGGTTTCCTGCTGCAACTTCAAGGGGTTCTAAGACTCAGACCTGAATGCTCTGAACGCGTCAGTATTAATCTACACTGCCAGTTGCACAGCCAGTGAATTTGACTGAGGGTTCGGGCTGTCTGTGGCTTCTGTAGCAGTACGTATGTGGCTGAAAGAGAAGATGAAATTGAGCTTTTAAGTCTGAAGAATAGTTATCTGGAGAATGGAGCTCTGCCTTACTGTTTAGTCAGTTAGCACTGGCTGATGTGTAAGACGGGACAGCTGTGAAGAGTTCAGATGATCAGTAGTGACTTCATTTTTTTTTTTTCCTGGAGGTCTTTGCAAGTTATGTCCAAAAGCTGTAAGAGCAAAGCGCTGATGAAGATGTTAGATTCAATATGGAGAAGCAAGTGTCCTTTGCCAGCTGGAAACTTACTGCTATAACAGTAGCTGTAAGTTTAAGTCAATTGGTTTTTCTAGTCACTTACATGAGTAATTTCTTTCAGAAATTAATTTTGATAGAAATGAAGGGAAGCTTCACTCCTTGGGAGAATTACTGGGAAGTAATACTCAGTTTCACTCAGTTTTCTGCAGTTAGTTTTGCAACTTTCAAAAATACTGAGCCCTAGGCCTGCATGTGGAGTTATAAGAGATCAACATAATACACACTTGTGGTGTGACTTATGTATGAACTGTTTGGTGTCAAAAAAAGGTTAAGTGCAGTCATTCAACAGAGAAATGGCATGTGGTTAAGATAATCAGAACTATACAGGCAGATGAATAAAATGTGTAATAACAGTAGGAGGACAGCCATTAGTAGAGGTGTTTCAGGACATGACAGTCTAATAAACTCACTGTGAGGCAGAGACTTTCTTTTTTTCTTGTTGAAGGTAGGCTATTTATTGTTGCCAAAGATGCCAAATTGTTCACTTATAAAAATATAGATGGTTACAATAGCAGCGCACGATAAATGAACCAAAACTATTTTACCTCTTTGGCTGTAGACAAGTCCTCATGTTAAAGAAGGCTCAAACTCAGAATACTGTCTATTTTGTTGTTTATCTCTTCCCCCTATGTAGGTTGTCTTGGGGACACACAGTTTTGTTTTAGATTTCGACGGTCTTCTGGAAGGAAAGTCTCATTGTGTTGTTTTCTGGACCAATTGGATAGAGATCTACCAGTTTACTTAAAGGTTGGCAATAAGAGAAAATGAAGTTAATTTCTTCTGGGTAATGTTAATTTATGGGTCTTCATGCTTAAATTTAATGCTTGAAAAACAAAAACTCTGAACTGGATGTCCTGAAAGACAAAGCTCAACAAATGTTTTTTGTAGCATGTCATTATCATAATAATTAACTAATAATTAGTTCAGTTAACTATTCTTTAAGTTTTCTTACTATGGGTTTTGGACTGCAAGGAATTAAATTGATGAGCAGACCTGTTTTGTTACTGACTAGAAACCTGTAGATGAAATTGTAAAAACCATTACCTTACTGGAAATCTGAAGTGCTTTATAACTTTAAAAAAAAAAAAAAATTGAGATGTGTGTCTCTGTTTCCACCCTTCATGTTTTGAAGGTGGAGCAGTTATCTAAAAGAGGAAGTGGCCAAAAAGTTGTTCTCATCATGTCCTTATGGAATATTGAGGCCTCTAACTATGCTAGTGGGAGTCTGATTTTCAAACTCAATTTAGATCTGTTTATGTGGCAAATACTTGAATTCCTGCTTGTAGGAAGGATGAAGATGATGTTTTATCTTTGAAATGTGAGAGCATGCTTCCTTAATACTCCAAGAATCTTTTATAAAACTAATACATTGAAAGACCAGTTTTTATCTTTTCAAATCAGGGCTTTAAGGTTTTTAACTGCAAAAATCTTTAGTGCTACTTTGCAAAATTATGAGTGTTGATTTATTCCTCAGGACATTAATTCTGTTTTTGCCTTCATGGTGTGTCAGGAGAATGTAGATATAAAAATAGTAAAGCCAGAAAGCACAGTTGTTTCCACACACTGATGTTTTCTCTTTGAAGTAGTTATATTAAAAAAAAGGCCAATAAACAGAGTAATCTTTCTAGTTTATTGTATCTAGTCAACTTTGGAGCTTGCAGGGAAATAAGCTTTTAAAAAGTATATTGAATGCGTCAGAAAGAAGGGCAGTATCAGGTTGTTGCGCTGAATTATTTCCTTTCTTTCGCAGAAAGATCCAGCATATTACTACGGCTATGTATATTTCAGACAAGTTCGAGACAAATCATTAAAAAGAGGCTACTTCCAGAAGGTAATTTCAGTTCTTTTAGGAAAATATTAATTCGGAAATTAATTATTTTTCGGTGACCTCAAAGGAGCAGGAAGAGTATCTTGCTCTCTTAACTAAATTCATTGTTAGTTTATAGTAAATTGGTCTAATTTTATATCAGCTATGCTATGTTCCAGCTGCACAGTCAGAACAAATTTTTTTTTTTGTTAAAAACAAAAAGTTGGGAACATTTGGGAGTTGTTTGTTTGCAGCTGCCTGTAGTCAAATGTGTGGTTGGCTTGTGCGTGTCAGAAAAATCACACTTGACGTTCTCTGAGGATAACCAGTAGAACTGAGGAAAAGCGTTAACTTAAAATTGTATTTTTTGTTCTGTTACTTTTTATTCCAGTCACTGGTCCTCATCAGCAAACTACCTTATGTCCATCTCTTTCGCACCATGCTTAAGCAAATAGCACCAGAATACTTTGAAAAAAGTGAAGCTTTCCTGGAAGCAGGTAGTGGTACTATTATGTTGTTCTGGAAGAGCTCCTATAATATCACATACTTCTTCTGGAGAAAAAACAAACAACACTGTCACACATTCTAGTTTGCGTTTCTGTCTTCTTGCAGGGTAGAGGGTTGAAACTTTAGCAAACTGGCTTGATTTCTAGATCATTGAACAGAGCTAATCTAGGGTTGGACTCGATGATCTTAAAGGTCTTTTCCAACCTACATGATTCTATGATTCTATATACCTACATACCAGTTACTTCAAAGACCAGCTGTTCAGCACAAGTAGCTGATGGCAATTCTTAATTTGCACTCTTCACAAATTGAGTCCCTTTGGGCATTCTGACAACTTCTGTTAAGCAACTGTACAAATGTCATCTTGAGTGCAGGGTTTTTTGTGTGGGTGGTTTGTTTGTTTGTTTGTTTTGTTTGGTGTTGGGTTTGAGGGTTTTTTGGGTTTTTTGACCAAAGAGAAAAAGCAACAGAGCAGCACTGATAACAGGTGCTTCAGCCTTACTTGTAGAACTTTAACAGCCAGAGAGGGCCAAATAGGAAAGTTATTTGCTCTTTGCCTGGAAGCGCTGTGTTCTTTTGTACTCTGTCTGCCCTATACAACATAACGTGTCTTTGTGCTTTCACTGAGCAGCAATTTGTGGAAACAATTCTTGATGAAGGAATTGTATTTTTTAATCACCTGTAGATAAACAGGTTTTTTTGACAGGTTGTATTATGAAAAAAATAAGGTCTGCAGAAACTACTAGAATTAATAATTATATTCATAATTGTTTACAACAAAATGCTGAAAAACTTTCTAGCCAAGCTAGAAAGCTAGCTTTTCCCTCAAATACTTGTGTTTATCTGTTCCACAGTAGCTAATGTACATAAATGTGTGTGTTCTTTTCAGAGTTTCTTAGTACGTACTTTCATGGTTTCTCAACATTTCTTCAACTAATTGCAAGTCTAGTTGCTACAAAAAATGGAAGACAAGAGGATACTGTTTACTTGACATGAAAACCTTTATAGTTCTAATGAAATAATACATTAAGAATGTCAAAAAAGCTGTAAAACTTCATAGAGTGATCAAGAGATAAGCAGAAATGTTGTGGGCTATCAGGACTAATTTAAAATTACAGTGTGCACAAAGGTGACTGCAATATCATGGGTTATAGCATATATAAACTAGTTCTAAATTATACTCTTTTTAAGTTTGTAGTGATGTTGATCGTTGGCCACCACCAATTCCAGGGAAAATACTGCATTTGCCTATTATGGGTATTATAATGAAGGTAAATACTCCTGCACTTACTTTTCTCTGAGGGTGTTTTCCCCTCCATTTACTGTATAGGTACTGTATTCTGCCTTGTTTTCAGCGTCTCATACTTCAGAACAGGAATACATGTATACTCCACTCAGAGTGAAGGTCCGGGAGATCTTGATTAGGTTCCTTGATTGGGGGGAGGAGGGGAGGATCTTTTATGGTGCATAGGTTAATATGTAATTTTTGTAGATATTAAAAAGGTGTTTCAGTATAACTACTAATGGCAGTGTCTATATTATCCTTCTGGAATATGCATTCTAGGAGACTTCAATGCTAATTATATTTGTCAAATCAAACATTAAATAACACTTCAAAATACTGAGAGTTAAGTTGTAGTCAAGCAAATTAAATATATTGATGAAAATCATTCTTGTTACTGAAGTTTGACAAGTAAAAATCTTTTTTGGCCCACACACCAGAAATTAGTTTCTTGGTCTGTTGATAATTTTCAATGAAAGTGACATATGTCTGAAGAAAGCTGTTAGAGAAGTTATATCTAGTGCATGGGGAGGAACTGTAGAGGTTAAATGGTGGCTAAGAACTGGGCCTCTGGGAGCCATAGCATCTTCATATGAAATGCAATTAAATGGATTTGATGGATCCAGAGGTTACAGTTGGAAGTACATTCTTAGCAGATACTCTCAAGTTTATGGCTAGACGCATGTGCATCACCAGGGAGAGGAAGGAGAAGTTTCTGAAGCTGTTCTGGAAGCAGAAATTTAATAAAGCAGTGTTCTGGATGCTGGATGATAATGATGAGTGTCAGATATGTCTTGTTTGGGTATTGCCTGCATTTATCTCATCAGTAATTCTTTTCCATGAGAGTTGAAATTGTGTTCATAAACTGAGTGAAGCCATAATTACCATCTTCAGTAGTATTGTCCCTGGTTTTTTTACACTGTTTGGGCAGTCAGTTCTAATTGTTGTATATAAATTACATCCATTTGTGCACACCAACTTCCAATATGATTAAATTTGTGGTACTCAAGACTTACAGATGCAGACTGTAAAGTATTTATGTTGTTCAGTATATTTGGATTCTGCCTCATACCCACCAGGATGTCTGATGTTTTAGGAGAGGATTTTTTCTAAAAGTCATTCTATACCACCTTAAAACCCCATAACCTTGTTTCGGATCATTCTCTCCAACATTTAAATGTATTCTTACTGAAATTATTGTAATAGTTGTGACTAATGTTATCAATAGTCTTTTTTTAACTGAACTACAGTTTTCATATTCTAACATTCAATGTGCAATGTGGTACTAAATAGTATTGCATATTGATTCCTGTAGCAATGATCTGTAGTCTTTAGCAATGTACATATGTGGATGTTCTGTAGAGTAAGTTAAGCATGATACTGTAGTATATCTTCTTTAAATGTTACATCTTGTCTGTAAATCAGCATTTTAAGTCTCTGTTGAATTCGATACAAGGAAAAAAAGTCTGTCTTTTTCTTTCAAAGTTGCGGATTCCAACATATCGTGACAAGCCTGGAACAACGCCAATAGTACAGAATATACACCAGGTAGAGATTAGATATTTCTATTGTGTATAACCCCAAGACAAAGCTAAATACTTGCCTTCATTCTTTTACTTCAAACTTGTTCGTAAAAGATTGGTAGCAAATCCTCATGTACTTAGAATCCACAGTCTTTGAAACTTTGAGTGGAGGAGTCTAGAGTTGGATTCTTGATAGAAAAGGTATTTTAACCCAGTTACCCCAAGTACTTTAGGACAGAATTATCCAGCTTCTGGAAGAGGATAGTTGGCTGACAAAATTACTGAACTTGAACATCCTTTTAATGGGTGAAACTATACTAAACTAGGGTTTTTTTTGAGGATGAAAACCAAATTAAAAATCTTTAGGCATAGAAGATGGATATAAAACAAATCTGCCTGTGCCTTCATGTGCTGCATGGCCGTTGTTTAAAACGGTTTCAGTATTTTCTATCTTTTCTGCCTATAAGTGGTGTATGTGTTGGGGGAAATCTTGCTTTTAGCACACAAAAATAAGTAACTTGTGGAGATAATGTACATACTGCAGTAGTACAGTAGTGGTAAATAATTAGGGTATATACCATCTACTGTCTGTAAGCATTTAAGGGAAATTATTTCATTTAATATCTAGGTATTCTGATGACTAAAAAACAAGCATTGCGATGTCTTTTAGGCAGATGCTCAGATCTCTATGGCTTTACCGACTGTTCATGAAGTAGATCTTTTCAGGTAGGAGTTTGGACTGATTCATTCCTAGTTGTGAATTCCCACAAGTCAAAGATTTATGATTCCATAACACACATCTCATGGCTTGCAAGCTAACATTTATCAGTATTGTTTTTAATATTTTTAATATTCTTTTTCTGTAGAGCTGGCTAAAAAACAATTCAGGCTGAAAACACGCAGGCTGAAACTGCAATAAATAAGCAAGTTTATTAAATGCTCTGTTTTACAAGAGTATTTTATATTTTTCAAATGACTATTAAATACTACTGCAGACTTTCTTTTTATCCAGTTCTTAATCAAATACAATCAAATTTCTTCTGGTTATGTTAAGTGTATTAAAATACCTCAATCTGTTTTTAGGTGTTTCTGTCCAGTGTTCTTTCACATTCAGATGCTTTGGGAACTAGTACTGCTAGGAGAACCACTTGTCGTGATGGCACCATCACCATCAGAATCTTCAGAAACCGTGTTGGCACTGGTTAGGTAAATGTAGTGGAGCTTCCTAGCTAATGACCAAGTGAGTCATTGTGGATTGCAGCTGAGTGCAACTTAATTTGATCTGAATATAACAAAGCACTACAAATTTTAGAATTGCTTGTTTCTTTAATGAAATTTTGCATTGTATACATAAAACAAGCTTATACTCTTTCTACCTTGCAGTTGTATTTCACCGTTGAAGTACTGCAGTGATTTCAGGCCATATTTTACCATACATGACAGTGAATTCAAAGAATATACAACTCGCACACAAGCCCCGTAAGTAAATCAAGCTTTGTTGTGAAGGTGTTGCTCAAAGCCACTCGTAACCATAAATCTGTTTTAAGATAGCGCTTAAGTATTCTGAATTTCTATCATTAGAGAATACATTTAGATGCCTTATTTAATAATATTTATCTTACAGAGTGCAGTAGTTAGCTGTTTTAAGTTTTCACTCCAGTTAGATAGGATAAAGAAGTTATGAAACAATGTCATAATTAAACTACATTTGAGCTTCATAGGATACTTGTGTACAGAATAAGTAAAACTGCAAATACTGAAGTGGGAGAAAGTTTGGCTTTTCAGTAGGGGTTTGTCTATGCAATACCAGCTCCATAGTAGCTCCTTGGGAAATTGTTCTTTAATTGTTTTTATTTTTAAGCAATGACTAAACGAAGTGACTTCTAGAATTCGACATCCATACAGCTGTTTTGTAAAGTTAATCCAGTTGGTGTCCTAGTTGAGACAACAATTTTAAAAAGTAAATATCTCTTCACTAAATCTGTTAGAAAAATGTTGTAAATAATTCAGAAATTAAAACTCTTTTTTTAAGAGCGTGAGTCTACAAAAACAATTCTGTTTGAAACTGCTTTAAGGACACACTTTTCTCCCCTTTTTTTTTTCCTAAAAATCCTACTCTTATTTTGAGAGCATACACCTCCAATATTTCTTATTATGTGTTATTTAAATGCAACTTGATTTGGGAATGGAGTGCCTGTGTTAGATTCACTGATCTGTTTATAAACAGACTTCTTCTAATATCTGAACAGGCAGTGGTTGTTGTGTTGGGTTTTCTGTTTGTTTCGTTGTTTTTTTTACTGTATTTTTCCTCTCAATGAAAGCATTGCCAGAGATACAGCAGTGGAAAAACCTATGAACATAGGCATTACGTTTCAGATTGTCTTCCATGGGAATGGTTATGCAGTATGTAATTTAATTTCTAAAAATAATTCCATGAAGAATTTGGTTAAACTTTAGTAACCCGTGTTTAAAAATTGCATCTGCTCCTCTGTAGCAAAATAGAAAGGTTGTTCAGTACATATGTTAGTATTTGAAGTAGAGATAGAATTGCTCTGGCTTTCTTACAGTAAACAAAAAAAATTGAAAGATTGGCAATAGGCTCTTAAAGCAGTGGCTCTAGGAAGGGGAAGAATCCACATGATACAGATTTTGTGTATTTTATTACCTTTAGCGAGAGGGGAGCAAGGAGTATTTTTCATCTTGTTTTGATTTATCATGCCTTTTCAGAAATTACTTCAGTGGTTTAAAATCAGAATTGGTTCTGGTAAATATGATAGATTAATGCTCCTAAAAGTGACCAAGTAGCTTACCAAGTCTTGCTATTATATCGCCAGTAGCTGTGAAACAAGATTCCTCCTGATTTGCTACCAGTTTACCTTGACCTGGAGAATTACTATTTTTTTGTGTGTGTGTAAGTGAAAGCCTTACTTGACTTTAACTCTGTCTTTAACCCTACAGTTAGTGAAGGAATGTCAATTTGTGTGTACATTGGTCCAAACCAATTGTGTGTGAAACTTGCTTTTTGGTTCACACAAAACAGGCATGATAAGTTTTAATCGTTGTGTTAAGTTAGGCTTGACTTGATCCATTTCTAGGGAGAAGGAGAGTTCCTATTGTTTGGGTTCTTTTGAGACTCAGTTTGTTTCTTACATTGATTCTCATGACGTGACCATGAAAAGAACATAAGATAAAACATCATAGATTGATTTTTTTTCAGAGTACAACAAAGGAATCTGTTGAGACCCTTTTTATGGACGCTGGTCTCTATCATTGTTTTGGAAGAGAGACTGTAAATCATGTATGGTAACGCTGAAAAAGTCATGAACAACATTTGCAAATCCCAACGAATTTAAATCAATAATGCAAATGAGTTTAACAGGGTACTAGAAACAGCAAAAAAATCATGAAACTGAATTCAAATGAGTAGGGAAAAATACATAATATCTGGAATAAAATGTTTTCAGGTGAACATACTTGAACAGCAGTAGGACTCGGAAGAAGTGACTTTTCTGGTGAAGGTTGAGTCAGTGACAAGCAAGAAAAGACTTCTGAGAAACTGATACAATTTCGTGCTGCTCATTCTAAGATGGAATGGAGAGATGTCTGAGCTATGGAAATACCAGTTTTCATCATACTAAGCTACAGAGCTGTGTGATCAGATTTTTGTCCTACCTGTGAATGCCTAATGAGTTTATATATATATATTTATAATTAGCAAGTGGAGGGAAGAATGAAAGTCAGAAATGTTTGTAGGTTAACATAGAAATTGATGCCCAATTGCCACCATGATACAGCTGGAAGAATTGAATAAAAATTTAAAGAAAGATTACTTCTTGTATTTCTTCCCACCTTGCCTTGAGAAACAGGAAACTTAACGCTTTCTGTACACCATCCTTAAAATTAGGGATTTTTAAAACCAATCTGAAGAAATTATGATAATGTATTTTTAATATGGCAGTTCCAATGAGGCTTGTAGTTATACTCTTTCCTTAGCTAATGTTTGCCTGCAAAGTGGATGGCAGCCGCTATTCTGAAAAATATGTTGGTATTTCGTCACATTAGTGCTATGAATCCCAAAATCTGAAGCCCTGTGCTCTTACTGCCTCTTGTTCTCTGGGTGCCCCTATGCATCCTTGAAGCCAGATTCTAAGCACAGAGTAGACAGAAAAATCTGACAGGTTGTGAGCTTGCGCGCAGTGCTATTAATATGGTTGTACTTCATCACTTCATAACTGCTTTTTAACAAAGAACGCTGAAGTGTTGGAAAGGAAATAGGATATTAAGTGTCTGTCTTAATTATGTCATCTGAGCAGTAGCTTTACTGAGAAGTCTCATACAAACAGCAATCATGTTGACATACACATTGAAGTACTGAGGGTTTGTTATAATCAAAACTTGAAAAGTAGCAATTTGTCTTTCAAATATGAGTCAGATTCCTGCTCATTTTAAAAAAACCAAACGAATAATAAATCAGTTAATACCCTGTTCTCATCATTGCAAATGGGCAGAATTTAGCCAGGAGTCTAAGCAGAAGATGTCACTTTTATTCTCCACTACCGTTTTGACTTTAAGATACATCTGTCTTGCTATTTTCTAAAACTTAAAAACTTTGATAAACGTACTGTGCTCTTACATGCAACTTAAAATGCAACTCATAAATACAAAAGGAAAATAATTTCAAGTTAAGAATTAAAGTTGACCTTTTGTATTCATTAAGACAGAAGCTCTTACTGTCATATTTTAAACATTGTCATTATTTTTCTAGACCATCTGTCATTCTAGGGGTGACGAATCCTTTTTTTGCTAAAACGCTTCAGCACTGGCCTCACATTATCCGAATTGGAGATATTAAACTTCCAGGTAAAGTACAAATATCTTCTATAATCGTGTTGTTGTGGTTTAACCTGGCAGGCAGCTGAACACCACACAGCCCTTCGCTCACTCGTTCCCACCCCCCAGTGGGGCGGGGGAGAGAATCGGAAAAAAGAAAGTAAAATTCGTGGATTGAGATAAAGACAGTTTAATAGGACAGAAAAGTAAGGGAAAAATAATAATAATGGTAAAAGAATATACAAAACAAGTGATGCACAAGCCAATTGCTCACCACTCCGATGCCCAGCCAGTCCCCAACTGACCGATGCCCAGCCAGTCCCCGAGCAGCGGCCCCCCCGGCCAGCTTTCCCCCAGTTTATGTACTGAGCATGACGTCCCATGGTATGGAATGTCCCTTTGGCCAGTTTGGGTCAGCTGTCCTGGCTGTGCCCCCTCCCAGCTTCTTGTGCACCTCCAGCCTTCTCAGTCGGTAGAGCATGGGAAGCTGAAAAGTCCTTGACTAGTGTAAGCACTGCTCAGCAACAACTAAAACATCGGTGTGTTATCAACGTTATTCTCATACTGAATCCAAAACACAGCACTGTACCAGCTACTAGGAAGAAAATTAACTCTATCCCAGCCAAAACCAGGACACCTGTGTGACAAGATCTAACTGTGTGTTTATCTATTTACAAACATGTGTAATTTGGTTCAATTTAATTTAGTTTAATACTAACCAAATCCTCATGGATGTAAATCTGTCAAGTGAAATTAGGCTCTTGAGTACTGTATGTTTTGTATTGCCAAATCTAGTATATTAAATGCAAAAGGTGGTAGTACTCATTAGTAATAATGTTTTATCTTTTGCACAATCCATTTTTTGTATCTCTACCAATAAGGTATTAAAATGAGAAACATCATTTATTACTGATGTTAATTTTAGCATGAGTAGAATGTAATAAATCAGTCACAGCAGGTGCGCAGAAAGCAAAACTCATGTGAAAGCTAAGTTTGAATGTTACGATAATATAAAAAGTTATTTGTTGACAGTATTTTGATAATATATTTCTAATCTGGCAATATTCCAGCAGTTATTAATTGTTCAAGTTGGGTGATTTCCTTACATGATTGAGTAGAATTTTAATGTAATCGTTGGATAACATGTCAATTGCTAGCCTGTAATAAAATACTGCAGTACTCTTAATTGCTATATGAAATTCCTGAATGCAGCTGATTGCTGTGACAGGTTCACTATTCTGATCTGAAAGCGGGAATGCATAAATATCCAATTAGGATAATACACCATTAAATTAATTTTTGTTGAATAAGTTACATTCAATTTCTGAATACACCAAATTAATTAAGGATTATGTACTGTGTTCAAAATAATTAGGCAAGGTTTTGCTTTACTTTAAAATATCATGCCTGTCCATGCTTCAGAATACCTGTGGGGGCTTGGGGTTGTGTGGGGAGGACTTAGCTAGCTGCTGTGTAGTTAAGGTTTGGAAAATAGAATCTTAATTAAACTATTAAACCGCTGCAAAGCCATATACACAGGTTGCCTTCAAATTTGATACAGATTTCAAGTATGAAATTCTAAAGTTTTGGTGCAGCTATGTGAAATGCTTAGTCAGGAAGTTCTAGAGAATGTAGCTGTCTGATCTACCTTTAAAAATTTAAATTTTATTTCTTTAGGGGCAAAGAGAGGGCTTGTGATTTTTTTGTTTGTTTGTTCATTTGTTTTATTTTCCTTTTCTCCCCACTCTGCAGTTTCAATAGCAATTTATACTATTGCCTTTTCTGAAGTTGAGCATCCAACTAGAACTAAGAGGAAGGTTCTGCTGAGGCTGCAAGACTGTTAACAGAGTTTAGGGTCTTCTGGCTGGAGAAGGATATGTTTGAAAAACAAAACAAAAAACTTAGTTTGGCCTATGGAAAAGGAGACTTGAATTCATTTTCTTACAATGCTTAATCCATGGCTACTGTTTTAATTTCTTATATACAATTTTTATTTTGGCCAAGGTACTAATGATTTGTTCCTCAAAGCATTTACCCTAAGGGGAACAAAGGAAGATGGAATAAAATTTGAGATTAATGAAACAGTCATTCACTTCTATATAATGAGTATTTTTCTTTGGCTGCTTTGATTCAGAAGGTTGTCCTTGTGGGGTTTTGGTTTGGTTTTGGTTCTTTGGTTTTTTTCTTTTCACCAGGGAACCTTTATATAAAGTGAAAAGCCTGTATGCTGTTATTCATATGTTTACTGGATGTTTCTGGATATATACTTGGATGCTTGTTGATGTTTCTAATGCTTCTTACAATATTAGATAGTCTTCTAAATGAAAGTATTTGTTTCTAAAAATCAGTGCAACGTATAGCACATTAACTGTGGTATCTAGTAACAAGGATGGAGATTTCAAGCAAGGTGGCTTTAAATGTTTTGGCAGGTGAAGTTCCAAAGCAGGTGAAAGTGAAAAAACTGAAGAACCTAAAAACTTTGGACTCCAAACCTGGTAATAAGTTGCTTCAGAGTTAAATTACTAATATTTTAATTTTAAAAAGCGTACCCCATTTTCCCTTTGGCTATATGCTGCTTTTTTTCTTTAGGTGTTTATACCTCTTACAAGCCATACTTGAACAAAGATGAAGAAATCGTTAAACAGTTACAAAAGGTAATACTGCAAGTGTCGTCTTAATGGAAATTGTTTTGTGTACTGTTGTATGGTGTTCTCATTTAAGGCTGAGCTCTGTCTACGTAACTGAAATGAAACTGGATTCTGTTTCCTTTGCCCCAATTTATAACTGAATCGATAGGTATATACCCTCATTGTAGAAGAAGGGCTACTGCCTTGTTAGCACTTTCTGTAACAACATGAATGGTAGAACTCAAGAAGTTAGCTTAATAATTTAGAGAATTGAAGTGATTGATCAGTTCATCTGTTTTGGGTTTTCCACCCTCGCCATCCCCCTCTAGTCTCTTTGTTCTAAGTCTTATGCATGAGGTGTAAGAATCAGAGCTTCCAAACTTTAACTGATCTGCACGAGTTTGTTTATAGAAATTTTTCTTGCCTTGAATGTCTTTACATGAAAATAAAAAATCAGCAATTGAAGGCATGAATATCTGTGCAAAAGGACTTGACACTATTGCTTTCCTTTCATGGTTCAGGGTAGGGCGTGCTATGTGTAAGCTTATGGCAAATGCATACAGAAACACTGGAATAGATATTGTTAAAAAAAAAACCCCACAACGACTTAATGTATTTTGGGGTAAACAGACTTATTGTGATATTTTATTTCTTTTTTTAAGGGTGTACAACAGAAACGTCCTACAGAAGCACAGAGTGTGATTCTTCGGCGGTATTTTTTGGAATTGACGGAAAGTTTCATTATTCCACTAGTGAGTTCTTAGATTAATGGGTTTTTTACATATGTAATATGGAGTAGCTTTTTTGGCGTTAGCCTGACTGAATAAGTCCAGTAACTATCTAGTAACTAGCAGTGTACCCCTGGGGTCAACACTGGGTCCAGTACTGTTCAACATCTTCATTAGTGATCTGAATGATGGGGCAGTGTGTACCCTCAGCAAGTTTGCTGATGGTACAAAACTGGGAGGAGTGACTGATACACCAGAGGGTCGTGCTGCTGTTTGGAGGGATCTCAACAGGCTGGAGAAATGGGCTGACAGGAACCTCATGCAGTTCAGCAAAGAGAAGTGCAGATTCCTGCACCAGGGGAGGAATAAACCTATGTAGCGGTATATACTGGGGGCTGCCAGGCTGGAAGGCAGCTTTGCAGAAAAGGATCTGGGGGTCCTAATGGACATGAAGTTGAACATCAGCCAGCAATATGCCTTTGAAGCAAAGAAGGCCAATGGTATCCTGGGCTGCATTAGGAGGGGTGTTGCCAGCAGGTTGGGGGAGGTGATCCTTCCTCTATATTCAGTACTGGTGAGGCCATACCTGGAGTATCATGGCCAGTTCTGGGCTCCCCAGTACCAGAGAGAGATGGAGTTACTAGAAAGAGTCCAGTGAAGGGCCACTAAAATGATTGAGGGGCTGGAGCATCTTTCATATGAGGAAAGGCTGAGAGAGCTGGGACTGTTTAGCCTAGGGAAGAGAAGGTTCGGGGGGGGGATCTCATCAATGTATATAAATACCTGAAGGGAAGACGGATCCACCACTCTTTTCAGTGGTGCCCAGTGACAGGACAAGAGGCAATGGGCACAAACTGAAACACAGGAGGGTCTGTCGACCATCAAGAAACACTGTTTTTACTGTGAGAGTGACTGAGCACTGGAACAGGTTAGGTTGCCCAGAGAGGTTGTGGAGTCTCCATCCTTGGAGATACTAAAAAACTGTGGGCATAGTCCTGGGCAGCCTGCAGGTATGCTTGAACAGGAGAGGAAAGAGGGGAGTTGGACCAGGTGACCTCCAGATGTCCAACCTCAACCATTTTGTGATTCTGTGAATAATATTTAAGCTACAGAAATTTAACATTAAGCTATGTCTTGACTTTTCTGAAATACTATAGTCTTACATTTCTTTAATTATCATACTTAGCATAAAAATGAAGGCCGTAGCTTAATGTCAAAAATGAAACATTTATATACCTAGACAAAAGGTTCAGATCTCAAAAAGGAATGCTTCTTTGTATATGCTGCTAGACTGCATTTTCAGATGCTTGCTTGCGATGTACTGTGTAGCATTTATGCAAACAAAACTCTGTGTGTGTGTGTATTTTAACATGGAGTTAAGGAATTTCCAAGAAGGAAACTTCTCTAACCCTTCCTCAACACTTGGAACCCCTGTCCACTGTTGAAATTTTTTTTTTCTTTCATTTAAGCATAAGGGTGTTTCCCCTGACCTTGAGAAATGTCGATATTGGAAAGGTAGAGTTAGAAAGTACTTTGTAATGAGAAGAGCTCTGTAAGTGTATATCTTGTAGTAATTTGCTATGATAGCTGAGGGGATACTACGAGGTAATCTTTCTATTAATATGTGAAAGATCAACCAATTCAGCTGGTAAATTAGACTCGCTTAATTTTTTTCCCTTAAATATTTATTCTGTCTTCTAATGGTAGTGCTTTTCCATACAAATCATTAAAGTTTAGAGCATTTTTCCCTTTTCCAGTCATATTTGTGCACTCACTGCGGTTATGCTTGGCATGAGAAACAAAGCATTTCATTACTTGTCCTCTAGGCAATTAATTTAATTCTCTTCTTCGCAGACTTACTTATCTTTGCAACTCCATTTTACCTATGTTCTATCTGACTTTCAAAGAACAATGTCTGTCTCCGAAGTTAGACAGTTTGGGTTTTGTTTTGGTTTTCTTTTTTTGTTCATTGATTTTGGAGTGTTTTTGCCATTGGATTACCTGCAGTAGACAAACTTCAGCAGTCAGACCTCCTTGGGCAGTTGTTTTATGGCTTCAAGGCAGCTATTTCCTCAGATTACTGCAGTATTTGCAGGATTTTCAAATCTTGCACCTACGTCAAGCATAAACAAAATTTACAAGAGACTTTTGAGAAAAAGACAATGTCTCCACTTAGATTCAGAGCATCTAGAACTGGCAAAAGAATTATTATGAATCTCAGTTTTATGTCTGTCTCATTTCCTGTCAGGAAATGTTAATGGCCAACATGATGTAGCAGGGGCTACAGAATTTGCTTTCTCTTACCTGGTCTCAGTTTTCCTCATTATTACTGTTGTTTCAGAAAAAAAATGGGCAAATGAAACTTAGTATGGATGGTGATTTCAAACACTTAAATACCCTTGGGGAAAAATTGCATATACAGAGCTCTTCACTAGATTATAAAATCAAAGATGAATGTAGGTTAACTGGGACAGCTGATCCAATGCCATTGCTCAGAACAAGGCCAATTTGAATATATAGCTAAATACCAAACCTTGCTTTACAAGTATGGGCATAAACTTTTGGACAAATTCAACACACGTATGTCCCCTGATTCTAGAGAAGGCTTTGATCATTATCCTCATGCTTTGTCTTCCTCAGAGGCAGTAAATACAGCTTCTAGATCACTGGTGACTGCAATGATCACACACAGTACTGCTCTTTCCCCAAGCCTTGGGTTTTATATAAGACGTTTTCATGATAATCTGCCATTTTTCAGTCCTGCTCTGCTTGGCCATAAACCTGATACAGCTTTACATCCGTGGGGGAAATCCCAAAACAACACTGAAAGCTTTCAGAGTTTTGCGTTTTCCTTTTTCTTTTTCCTTTTTTTTTTTTTAAATAAATCTCAGCAAAGAGCCTCCGGTTTTTGTTCTAAACTGTAGTAGACATGAGTCCAGCAATCTGAAGGTTCATAATGAGACTAATGGCATCAAGTTCCTTCAACCATAATTTCTGTTCAGGAATTTTCCTTCTGATTTTGTTCTTTTATCTTTGTCTATTAGTGATAAGCTGGTTTGTTTTTTCTGAGTCTTCATGAGAATGGTTTCTAGAGAGTAAATCTCAAGACTTGCTGTTTTCCTCCCAGCAGTTTCTATATGCTGTTCTGTGAAAGAATGATTCGCACAAGGGTTTGCTTTATCAGGTGATACTTTCTTCTGTTTTGGCGTGTGATAAAACAGATTCTGAGGAAACTGCTAATTCAGGTGACTCTAGAAGATGTTATTATGATTTTACAAAGGAGAGACTGTCACTGAACGCCGAGATACATCTACTTTGTATCAGGGCATCACACGGAGAACAGTTTTTCAGTGGATCAGAATATTTTATTGTACAGCATCATGCTATTCTGGAAGTGACAGATATCTGGTGTTTTGCTCTCTAAACATGGTACTTCACTTGTTCAAATCTCTAAGCCAAAGTTAGGGGGTAAATTTTGTCTCATTTCTAACCAGTCAGCAGAGTTGTTTGGAATGCTTAATGTTCACGGATTAATGTTTTGTTTTTTTTTTTCTTCTGGGCAGACATCTCAATTTGCCGAAACAAATTTTAAAATAGGAACTTGTATCTAATGTAATAGTAAAAACTTACCTGTCCTGTAAATTGAAATCCTGCTGTAGTGTTTGCAGACTCCTGACATACCTTTATGCTGACAAATGAATATTGTGTTCAGGTTGCTGAATCCATGCAGATTTGTAGGCTTTGACTTGCACTGAAATGGAAATTTGTCATCTGTTTTCTAATTTGTGCATTAAGATAATGATAAATATGTTCTAATATGCTCTTACCTAGCATTTGGAGGTATGAAGTCTGAGTAATGATGGACTTCACCAATCCAAAAAGTTCTGTGTGAAGTTAAGTCATTTCTCTGGGCAAGTGGTTAAAATGGGGAAGTGATACCTCAGGCATTGGATGTTTATGTATCAGCTGCCTCATTCTGAGCTCTCTAAACACCTCTGTCGATGACCTGAACTTCGCATCATTTTAGAGCATGCGTGATCAGGTCCAATTTCTGTCTGCAAGAATTGGGACATCCCTAGACACTTGTTTGTCCTTGGGTGTTAATGATTAGAGGAGTCTTTCCTTAAAATTTGTCTTATCTCCTGTTCTTTTGATACAGGATAGACATATAGGGTGAATCTAAAACCTTTCCCTGGCATTCCCCCGTCTTACTCAAAATTTCACTTCAAGCGAGAAACTTAATATGTTTTCTGTCATAAATCTTAAATTTATACGGTGAGATCACCCTTTACATTCTGTGCCACAAGAAAAGTATATGGGGGGTCCTTTGTTTTTTCAAAAGATAGAACTAGACTTTTCATAATGTTATGGAAGCTGATTATGTTCATAGATCAAAATATATGGCCATTTATGTACAAACCCTTTCAAAATGTATAGCAGCTTATATTGATGTGCTTGTGTGAGCTGACAAGGCGGAGCTGCCTCCTGTCATCATCAGACCTTAAGCTTCAGGAGTGGCCTTGTGGAGAAATGTCTCCATTATTCATATGTTAGATAGCCAGCTGGGGCTCTAGCCATGCCTTTGCCAAGCATTGCTACTGCAGAGATGCCCGCAGCTGATACAGGAGGTATCAAAACACTAACCTACAGTGTTTTGTAGGTTAGTTCTATATTTAATGTTTGTATGAGGGACTCTGAAAATTACTTCCAAATACTTGATACAAAGTGGGATTACTGTTTGGAATGACCCGTGATATGAAGGTACCTGCGGACTGTCACCAAAGAAAGGAGAGATTATTTTCTAGTGGCTGGAGTTCAGGAGATATATATATTCCATGTATACATTTGCTTCCTGTCTTTCCCTCATGTCCTCCTTGAATCTTGCTGACATAAAGTTCTGTAGTTGGGAAATAAAAATGGTATTAGATAAGCTCCTTCTTATGTGCTCATGTGGTAAATATGCATGACCCCACCCTGTACCAATACTTAGAAGAGAAAATGCTGTGGTCACAAGTGATAAGTAAACATAGACGTGGACTGTGTATCTTTAATACTGGTTATGCAAACAACCTTTCTTTTTCCTTTCCCTAGGAACGTTATGTGGCGAGCCTAATGCCTTTGCAAAAATGCATATCACCATGGAAGGTAAGGAAATGTAATTTGAATGAGCTGGAAATTGGTGATTAGAGAAAACAGTTATGGTGTGCTAATGATTTTTTTCTTTCCATAGAGTCCACCACAGCTGAGGCAGTTTAGCCAAGATGACTTCATGAAGACACTGGAAAAAGCAGGACCACAGCTCACATCAGGTTTAAAAGGAGACTGGATAGGACTTTACAGGTCACTTCTTCCATCAGCATAAAAAATTAAATTATATAAATGAAGACAAATCAGTAATACGAATGCTCTTTTCCTGAGCAAACTTACCAGTATTGATTTGAGTAAGACTGACTTTTAGAATATATGCTTTAATAGGAATTGAGATAGTGCTTAGTATACTTCACTCGCTTAAATCTGTTTCTCTGTAACCTGTTAATGGTTTTCATAAGTTGCTACTAACACGACAGGTCTCCGTATAACAGTATTATTTGTGGGTTTATTTCTGGTTCTAACTTGATTCCTCCTTCCAATCTAACACAAAGATAAAAAATGAGGATATTTCAAACTGAGCCTTGTTTTTTTCCTCACAAAATTCCTAATCTCAATTGTCTTTCAGACCCCTTTTCTTTACATTGTTTTCTCAATCCTTGTGTTGATTAATAGAAGCACCTGTTATACTCCACTTCAGAATATTACATTTTTTTGAAAGTAAACAGAGAAAGGGTCCTAATATCTTCAACCTCAAACATAATTACTTTATATTTGATGACATAGAAAACGGAGTGTTATCAAAATAGTAATTAAAATATAAAATGTATTTTGCTTCGGTGTTTTACCAGGCATTTTTTGAAATCGCCGAACTTCGATGGCTGGTTTAGGAGCCGGCAGAAAGAAATGACACAGAAGTTGGAGGCCCTTCATTTAGAAGCACTCTGTAATGAGGTTAGAAAAATGTATGCTTATGATTATATTTATCATCTTGTAATAAAAATATATTCTCCCTCAAGTCAATTTTACTCCTGTTGTTTTCATTGGTTGAACATAAAAATGTTGACAATTTTGTCAAGTCTGATCTAGCAAAACGTGAATTTGTTACCAAGTACAAGCTCGAACTAACATAGCAAAGGAGAACAGTATGAAATACAGTTCACTTTTTTATAACAACTGTCATAATTTGTAAAATGTATCTTTAGTCCTTTTTTTTGTTGTGTATTTTGAAATTGAATATTCGCCCCCCCCAAAAAAAAAAGTTTTTTCCTCTTATTTGATAATTTTATTTCATTCAGCTTCCTTCCTTGGCATTCCAACACATTTTTAGTTGTGATATAGTTTGTAGCTTTGAAGGTATAAACTCTGTGAGTACCATAGAAAATTGACATCTTATTAGATGTGGATAGTAAATAAGCCTACAACTGATCCATAGTAATTGGAAGCTGAGAAGTGAAATCTGTTTATTGATATATAACAAAATGCCACATAAATGATCTTATGTTTTAAGATCCATTCTTTACTTAAGCTGAAGTGGGTATGGTACAATTTGAGTCGGAACAACTGATAAGGAAAGGTATCACAAGAGGAGAAGAGATTGTACAGCTAAAGAGGGAATAGGAAGAACAAAAAAATAAGTCAACACCACAGCTTTAAAATAAACAGAAAAACTGTGCTGGTTATTCTAAAAAAGCCATTGATTTTTATCCCTTGCCTTGTCAGTTCCCAAATAGTACATTGTAGCAACCCAAATAGATTGTTCAAATAGAGTAGCCCAAATCATTTGCAGGGCAATAGGTAGGTCAATTCTATCACCTAGAATCTATCCAACTACATTTGACATTAACTTATTGCAAAGAAAAGGGAATGTGTCACAAATTTATTACTGACTCTGCTCCTTATTAGCTTTTTCTTTCGATCCAAGTGTTAACATCTTTCTGTACACGAGGAAACGTCTTTAATAGGTGAATAGTAAAGGGGTAGGGGAACAGAACTTCCATAAGAAAAGTCACTTAATAGATTTTACTAGTTATCGACTATGTGATCTCCTTTAATGCCCTAGAAACAAGAAGTGCTCCCTGGCACTATTTTAATATTTCATTGTGCTGGCAGATATGATTTGGTAAATATTCTCTGCCATTTTGCATTGTAGATGCTATTTTTGAAACTAAGCCTGTTTGGCATGATTTTTTTTTTATATATATGTATTTGTCTGTATTGTGTTTGTGTCCTAGTCTCCTGTTTTGCTAAGTCCTGGGCAAACATGCAAATAAAGCAGATCTTGCAGTTCAGAGTAGAGACAGTACATGAGTAAAATGAGTTTAGTAAATGGCATGAGAATAAGGAAAAGGAGAAGACCCATTCTGAACAGTAGGTGTAAATTAATACTACTTTTGAAAATTATATATGTTGCCATAAATATTTCAATGCTTAATTTTTATTCTTTTAGAACTTGGTTTTCTGGAGTCAGAAGCATACTGAAGTAGAAACGGTGGATCTTGTCTTAAAGTTAAAGAATAAACTGGTAAGTAACTGAGTTGAACACGGCTCAAATTTGCCTTACTTAACTAGATAGAAGTATTACATAGTTGTGTTTACAGCTACTTAAATGAAAGTATTCTTTAAGATCTAGGTAGCTCAAGAAATCAGTTATTCAGGTTTTTAAAACGGTTCATTTCAGCTATGACTGAAGAGTTAGCTCACTTCCCAACATCGTCTGGCTATGTTGGAAGCATTGCACTGGACTTGTTTTTTTTAAAACTAGTTGGAACTTTCTGACTGATTTGAGTGGAAGCAAGGCTTGAATCCTCAGGGAAGCAGAAAACCGAACTTTCTTGTGATTACTGAAAGTCCAAATCAGCGTTAGTTCATGCTGTTTTCTGGTTTTTGAGGAAACCTGCTATTTTCCAAATTCCTACTCAGCCAGCAAATGAGGAATTCATTTTCCAGATTCACTAATATGTCACTTTGTGTCTTAAGGTAAACTTGCATGTTTAGTAGAAATGATGTTTTAATGTACCTTTGCAGTTGCAGGCTGACAGAGAACAGCTTCCGGTGAAAACTGACACACTGAAAAAGCTGCAGACACACATCAATGATATTATACTAGCACTTCCAGATGACTTACAGGACATCTTGCTCAAAACTGGCACAACATGATTTCTACTGGGCTTTTTTTGTGCAGAAAACAAAAGGCAAATGTAGCTTCACAGAAGGCAGTGGCTTACCAACTTTGGAACACAGCTCTAAATAGTATGTTAACACTACAAATGGACTGTACTAATAGTATAGCCCACTATACTATTTTCACTGTTTTTTCCACTTAAATACCAATGCAACTAAAGGAATTCCTGTGTCTAATGATGTTTGAAATAAGTGCTCTTAAAGAAAAATCTGTGGGCATATGAAACTACCACAGCATAGGACCACAGTGCAGTGCTGGCATTGCAGAATGGTGCTGCTATACCCAGTCCTGTTAACTCAGGGGTAAGCGATATTGATCCTGTACTGTCCTGTTGATGTAGTATCTGATTGCTTTTCTTTTTTTTTTTTTTCTTTTAGTTTTCATCTCGTGATAAGTCCAACTGGCATATTATGTGACTTGGTCAGAATACGTTATAGTTGAGGCATTTTACTGGTAAATCATTGCTTTCGAAACTGTTTCAGGGACGGCTGAAATAATTGGATCGGTTCTTAACTTTCTTCCTTTTTCCTTCTTACCATCTTTCCAAAACCATATTAATTTAGCATCTTTAAAGAGGAGAAGGCAGCTGACAAAAATTTCCTGAAGAGAAGTCGCTTCCATTCAGTGTTAGTTAATTAGGGTGCTCTTACTCACATGCCTTAAATATAAAGTAAACGTATACTAATTGGTGATTTTAAACTGCTGACATTTCAGGATTTGAAGTGGATTACTGGTGTAAATGTAAGCAAGCAGTATTCATCACAGGAAATAAACACTGTCATGTTCTAATATGGATTTTAAAATCGGTGATTTCAGTAGAGTTAGCTGATACACAATCTGTTTCAGTTGGAGATCATAGCAGTCAGCTCCTGTTATAATTTTTTTATTATTTTTTTTTTACTTATACCAGTAAGGTGTTTGAGGAGGTAATGGGACTGGAGGGAGATGATGTTGGCTGCAGCTGAAAAAACCCTATGGAAAGGTCAAACTGTGGCAAGAAAAGATATTCTCAGTATATGCATATAGCAGACATGCGTAAAGAGTAATTTCCTCTTGCATATGAAGCAACAAGAATGCGATGTTTATCTTCTTGAACAAGTTTCAGTGGTATATAAGAACTCAGCTGCTCCACAATGCAGTGTTGTACTTTGACCAGTTTCAAGTAGAATAAACTGAATGCTATAGTGTACACACAGCATACACTTTTATATGACAAGTGGATCACAGTTATAAAAAAAATTCTGCTTTTAAGTGCTTGGATAGAATTTTTTAAAACTTATGACATAATCCCGCTATAAGAATATGCTTTTGTATGATAAATATTTCATACCATCTTTCTAAAAAGTCTTATTTAGATACAAAGAGTCACAACAATATTTTTATGAAAATATGTATTTTAATACTGTTATGGTTTGTATACAATTACTCATGACCAAAAGTTTAATGTATCAATTATGTTACTTAAACTACACCACTTCAGCATTAATTTCTAACTTGCAAATTTTTTTTGCACACCCTGATGAATAGCATTTCTAATCCAGAAATTAGTAAGTGGCTATTCTTATACTAAATTATCTTAAATATTTAACCTGGAGCACTGTGTAGTTTCTCAGATCCGTGTAAACCGGTAACAACTATGATAACTATCACATGACTGCAAATATGTATTTTTGTAAAAGGAAATAAAAGGTTTGATTTTTATTTTTTCTTTGGAAGTTACGTGACTTAGATGATGGGTGTGATTTGTTCGTTTGTTTCTCCCCTCTCCTTTGTAAGCAAAGCTGTTCAGCAGCTTGTAGAGACTGCTGTTTAGTCTGACTTTATGAAGCTGTACCCTTAGGTACAGGACCAGAAATACCTGATGGTGACAGAGCGGTGGTGTAGTTTGATCATGCATCATGGTTGTAATATGATAGAGCTGCGGGATCCTCAAGAAAGCAAATGGCAGGGACTGGCTTCCAGGCAAAACTTATCCAATCTTCAGTCTATTTCTTGTACACATCTGAATGTGAGAACATGAGAAACATGGTAGTGGGAAGTAGACTGCAAGCAAAGCTCAATTCAGTTTTCTTTAATGGAGTTGGTATTAGTTTAAATCCCTGAATAACTAGATCCTTAAACAGAATTACAATCTTGTTCAAAAGAAAGGCAAAAAGAAAAGTTGTACTAGTTTGCTATCTTCGTCAGTGACTTGTAATGCTTTTAGTAATGGCAGTTCAAAAGGACCTTAACCTATTAACTACAAGTCTAGGCAAAATGTAGTCACTAAAACAGGGAACAGTCCCTCATTGCAGGTTTCTGATCTTGTCCTGTCTCTCTCCAGTCCTTTTACACTGAGCATGCATATTCTCAGTGGGGATGCTTCAGCCATTCATAGTGTTGCAGCACAGGATTTGTATCAGCTGCAGAAAGTAGTTGCCAGCTTGGTGAGCTGGAATTTCCCCACCCCTGTTTTTTTAGTTTTGTTTTTAACTCAATGTGCTTAAAATACAGGTAAAGAGCTTGTAATAACCCTCATTCATATGAGGCTTGATGGCTAAAGAATAGTGCAAAAACCTACTAGTTTCAGTAGTTCTGCCTCAATCTTCATCTGACTTTAAAAAAAAAAAAAGTACGTACACACACACTGTTTGGACCAGGATGAGAAAAAGTCCCTAAGTGAAGGAGAGAATACGTGGAAAAGAGGTAGCAGCTGTTCAGAAAAGAAATGCTAAAGATAAAGGGCCCCAACTGGGTCATCAGAAGAAGTTAAGACTGCCTGAGTTAGTGTAAGAGGAGAGTAAACTGGACATGCATAAGCTTTGGGACTTCTCAAATTTCTTTGAAACAACATAAAAATAATGCCAAGAACCAAAACATGAGATAAAGTGCAGTCAAATGTGCTAAAGGTGTGGCTAGTCCTTTAACAGTGTTAACATCTATGGTCTGAATAGAGGAGAATGAATCAAAAGTATGTTGTGAATAATAGTTATGTATGATTATATAGAGCAACCACTTATGTTAATGTTGAAACACTGATTATTGATAATCACTTCTAAAGCAAATATTTGTTAGATTGTACTCAAACAACTGAAATCATGAAAGGTATCTATTAATGGCCTACCTATAGTAAGAATATTCCAGTTTGGAGGTCTAGAAAGTAACTTATTTTGAAAAGAGTCCTTCAAATATTTTGTAGTATACTTATCCTCAGCTAAGTTCAGGGAAGCTTAACTTTCCTGGCCAAAAAAAAGTGTAAATACTGAGTGCTCTGAAGAGAAAATAGGTAAGTATTGGAAGCCTAGAACTGGACTCTTCAAAAATATCATGAAATTGAAATCTAATAGTTGATCAGGACCATATTTACATCTTAGGCACTAACTAGATTAAGTTAAAATAGTAACTTCTCTGAAACTTAAGTTTCATAAAATTATAACTGGTCAATCTTAATTTAAAACAGATTTTTTGGTTCAGATGAACATAATTTAAAACTTGAGTAAGACTCTCAACACGACATGTAAGAAAAGAACAGCCCAAGTGGAGTCTCACTCGCAGTAGCGTACTGTTAGGATCTGTCTCTTTATCAAGACCATTAAAGATGCTTTTCTTTAATGGAGGATAAGTAAATAGCTTGTTTGAAAAATGTTAGCTCTTGTGTACTGACATAGTTTCTAATTAGCATAGGTAGGCTATAACTCCCTTGAAAATTTTTAGGACTTTTGATTGACCCAATGCTTCCTTGGATTAGGGAGCTCAGTCAGTTAAATGCAGCTCATCTTAATGTTGCCCCAAATTTAATTATCACCATACTATGGACTTTTTACAATAGCTGTCAAAGAAGCTGTTACAGCTGGTTATGAAATCAAACATACCGCTCAAAAAATGGCATGTTTTTAATAAATCATGGCTTGTTTCAGTTTTATTCCTGTATTACTTCCCTGTATCTATCTGCTGCTCCCTGGCCAAGAAATTGTATGCTGTTTTGCCTTGACTCTGCAACCGCCAGGACGCTTCAGAGGGTCCCGGTCACAGAAACAATGTAAGAAAAAGATCCTGCAGTAATCAGTGTACCTGTGATACAGAGTGGTTTGGGTTTTGGGTTTGGTGGGGTTTTCTTTTCTTCTTAATTACCTAGCTCTGTTGCTACTAAGGGTGTATTTGGGGGCTCTCTGAGGATGTGTTTCACCCTAAACCTCCTACTTCTCTTTGCTCTCAGCTGTCGTTTGGCCCTTTGGGAGAGGAGCCTGGTGGCCATCACACCTCTTCCTAAGCACAGCGGGAGCATCAGTTGCAGTGAGATGAATTACTAGGGTTTGGGGGTGAGCCAGGGGCGTGCGTGTCCCGGAGAGAGGCACCTTGGCCCCCGCCGGGCGGTGGTACGGGGCCGGCCGTTGGCGCCGGGGAGCTG